GCTTTTTGCAGCCCCAGAGCCACAGCACACCAGGAAGCCCCTTTGTGCTGCACAAAGGCCATCCCCAGCCTGGCCCAGCAGCATGGCGCAAAGCCACCACAAATCACAGCCAGCAGTGTGGCACAAAGCTGCCACAAAGCCAGGAAGCCCCAGGTGCCCCAGCCCAGTCCCAGCCACAGTCGCCCTCGCCACCCTGCACTCTGAGTCCCCTGCTGCCCTGTGCTCTGCCGCCCCAGCTGACCTTTGCCATCTTCTTGCTCCCACTGCTGATGAGGCATGCCTGCCTTGGCTCTTCGTGAGGCAGCTGCTGGCCATGTGAGGCCATCTTCCTCAGGTCTCGCAAGGAAACTTGCGACCTTGGGAAGAAAGCCTCATATGGCCAGCAGCTGCCTTGCGAAGAGCCAGGCCGGGCATACTTGGTCAGCAGCAGGAGCAAGAAGATGGGGAAGGTCAGCTAGGGTGGCAGGGGCCAAGGAGTGCAGGGGGACAAAAGGGTATAGATGGGGGAAGATAGGTGGGGGGGGGAGTTGAAGTGCCTCTGCAGTCGTAAGTGTGGGAGGGCTACCAAGTGCCCAAATTTTGATCACGACTGCGGGGGCACTACAACAGCCCTAACTTTGGGCACTGGTTCTAAGTCCCTTTGTTCAGCACTGTTGTAACTTCGAATGGTCACTGAATGAATGGTCATAAGTTGAGGGCTACCTGTATTTGTCCTTGTTCCAGAGATAGATGCACTTAACCATGTAATGGGAAAAGCAAAAGAAAAAAAGAAAAGAAAAATCAATAAACATATTTTTAAATTCCTTCCCATTGTATCCAACTGATTGCATCAACATATTTATAAACATTAAAATTGTTTCTAATTACTGTCTTAATATCAATTATTTCCTCTTAAAAACTGTAGCCTAAGTGTCTGCCCTGTTGTATGACATATGATATATAGGGGAACTATTCTTGCTTAAATTTCGTCAAACTTCTGTTCGGGATGCACGCATATTCCTCAAGTTTGGTTTCTTATATTGTTGGCAAAGTGTCTCTTTTCCAGTGCTGAGCCAAATTGTCCTTGCGATCATTAACACATATCTTATTAAATTATAATATTTTTTATTTATTTGTTCTGAAACAATTCCTAGTAGAAGAAAACCGAAGTTTCCATTCAAACTTTAAATTTTTTTAAAAAAATAATGTTGTTATTTCTTTCCAGTACTTCTGAGGTTTTTGTACATGTCCACCACATATGATCAAATGTTCCTTCTGTATCACTACATTTCCAGCATTTTTTATTATATGATATATCTATATTTGCAGTTATTGATGGAGTTACGTATAATCCATAAAACATTTTGCACAAATTTTCTGTTAAATTATAGCATGGGCTAAAATTTTTTGAGTTTTTCCATAAGTCCTCCCACTGTTGAATTGCAGTTGTGTTGTGGGTCCTTTTTTTGAACCACTCATAACCAGATTGACCCAGACTCAATAGAAACAAAGCACTGGAAACTTAGACAACTCATTGGGTACTTTTATCTCCACTCAGTGGCTGGGAGGAGACTTTTATTTTACAAAAGGAAAGCTTAGAAATAAAGGAA